CGTTTGTGCTATTGGGCAGTGGTGGACAATTTAGATTTGCAATATGGAAAAACTCGACAAATTGCTAAATTACTCGTCAAATCTTTATTTTTGCGGTGAAAAAAGAGTCTGTTCATAGAGGAACGAAAGGATGCTTGACGTAGGACCAGGACTAGTAGGTACAATTGTTTTTGCGATAATGTTATCTCTTTAAATATTTAAAATGTTGGCCCACTGTGTGAAATGTAGCGTTTGTAGTTTTATGTAGTAGCTTACAAAAGGATTGTTGGATCGAGAACAACACAATTAGGGAAATTACTTCTTTTCAGAGATGTTTTATACATAGACTTCTCTGACGTTTGTGAATTGTACAAGTATTAGTGCAGAACTTTGGGTCAATAGAGTTCTCCAGATGCACAAAAGTGTGCGTGAGACCGCGCGCTACCTTTTTAAGTAGTTGTGATATCGCGATACCTTTTTGTTTCTTCTTCTTCTTCATTTTTATATATGGATGTTGGATTTTAGTGTTCGTGAGATTGCGCTTGGAGATCTCTATTCAAAGGTTTTCTTGCACTAATACTTATAATTTACCCAAAGTACTGCACTAATACTTGTGCATTTCACAAACGTCAGAGAAGTCTATTGGCATATATCAGGCATAACATTTGATAACGGCACAAAAGCATTTGTAAACAAACATTCTAAGGCCTTTTACACGCGAACCAAAGTACGCCCACGCAAACCAATACCACTTTCAGAAAGGTGATAGTTGCCCCTATTCGATGATGTTGTTGGTTTGCGTGGGCGTACTTTGGCTCGCGTGTAAAGGGCCTTAGAAAGTTTGTTTACAAATGTTTTTGTGCCGTTATCAAATATTATGCCTGATATTATATCACAAGTGACAGCTGGCCCAAAATACTTATCGAAATTAAAGTTTAATATGGACCAACAGGTCTGTGCCATAAAAAGGGAGAAATTAAAGTTGTAGGCGAGGTTTCAGGTAACCGCATAGTTGCATTTGAGACTATAGAGATTAGTGACGTTAAACGCACGCACACTAGCGGAAGCAACGCCGTGTAAAGTTATTTATTATTTTCCTCTGGCTAACCTAAAAAATGTATGAAAGTAGACCTGTCAAAATGAGTTTGACATCGATTTGTTATGTATTTTCCTCGGATATTCACTAACACGCTCTCACATATCGCACCAATACAACCGGACGTGAAAATCTCAATAAGCCTTGAAGAAGAACAAATAAAGATTGACCAAATAATCAGACCGGCATTAAAAATGCCTTGTACACCTGAACTAGTTCGCCACAGACATCAGTATTCTATTAACTCGAGCAGTCAACTTAAAGCAAGCCACTAGAAGACTAATTGAAAACTAGCACTATATGGTGGTAGAATTCGCCAAATAATTCAAAATAGATTTGGAATTATGGTGTAACAATAGAAAGTATAGAAATTGTAACCATAGAAAATTAATAATGAAAGGTTGCACCCCTTGTGCAACTTGATTGTACTGAACTGGTACAACTCAGTTGTAAACAAACAAACAGATACACTCATATTTGAAAAAAAAAACATTAAAATGTGTTCCCCTTTGAAAAACTCGCTCGATCATTTGTCCGGAGTTCCACTCCTGTGCGTTCAGCCAATCGTTGCTAAGGTTGACTACTCGATTGAAGACTTTGTTTACTCAAAAGTGACTAGTGAGAGAATTTTTTGTCATACATAAAACTGGTAGAACAACGATTCAATAAAAAAAAATTATTGACGGCAAACCGGTTTCGAGGATCATTCGAAAATATCTTATCTGTAATCTGTAAGTAATCTGTAAATCTGTAATCTAGTAAAACTCAGTCATCCGATCCCCAGCAAAAACTCCAGCGGATCGAGTTTATCCAGAACAGCTTATATTCGGACTTCACTTCAATCAAGTTTAATCAAGTGGCCGGTTGAGAGGGTCTTGTCAATACGGCAGTCAAGACGGCAGAAACGGGTTACCTCCAGCCTGTAAGATCTGGTCATCCCAATATGTTAGTACAGTTCGGAATGCGGTCGGCGAAGTCGTTGAGTCTTCATATGGTGCAGAGTAGTTAGATCCCGCGACCATGACAATCAAAATCAGACATTGGAGACATTGAACATCAGTTTATGCACGTTCGCAGTACGTATCATTGTTGGGACCCAAATCAAAATTAAGCCGGCTGCGGAGAAAATTTTGAAGAAGTTTGATATCGTATCATCAAGAAATTGAGAAGGAAATTGTTTGTACATCTGACAAGTTTCGACTACGCTGAGGCAAGTTAATGCTATGAAAATTATAAGCTGGTGAAACTGGGGCTCACCGACCGAAAAATGCCCGGCGGTTGCCATTGATGGGAAAATTGAAAATCCAGACAATGAACCTCGATATACCCTCACTTTCTGGCCCACATGCTTTCACCAAAGGTCACCTACTGGGGGGGGGGGGGGGGGAACGTTTTGACTAAAGGGTGTTACGATTAAAATTTGGTTGACTTAAACTTGACGCATTTTTTTAATCGAACATTTAAAAAAATCTGAACACCCCTCATTTTGTATGTTCTTTTTACTTAATTGATCATTTTGTCAAGCTTCTGCATTCATGTTCCATCAGATGTCACAGCTGTTGTTTGCGGTGACATCTATCAGAAACTACACACAATCTGTTTTTCTATAATTGTTCACAGAGGACACTGCAGTGCAAAACATGTCTGGTACCTCTATATATGCATTTAGATTATTATTATTCGAAGTCCCTCCTTTTTTACACATTCTGTGGGGCATAAAGTATCTTTTGCGCAGAATATGTAAAAAAGGAGGGACTTCAAATGTTAAACTAAATGCATATATAGAGGTACCAGACATGTTTTGTAGTGTCAGGTACTCTATTTTGTAATCTGTGAAAGAGAAATCACAAATCGAGTGTCAACAAAATACATGGCATGTTGAGAGATTGAGCTCGTGAGAGAGAATTTCTCTCTCAAATTTGAATTTTTTTTTTCGGCTCTCTGGGGACTGGTAGTAAAGCGGGTAAAATTGTATGGGGAAAAATCATTTTTAATTAATTGTAGCTTGATTAACTATTATTTCCGGGAAAAAACTGAACGACAAAGTCCCTAATAAATTTCTTTAGGTTGTCGTTTACTTTTTTTCACCTGAATATGCACCGAAAGCGAATTATTCCCACTTCTCTCAATTTCTATATGGGGATTTTTATTACTTCCTACTAGTGGAACAGCGCCATCTCTGTGGAAAATGGTCGAACACAATGATTAATTTGGAGTTGAGCCTCTCACTTGAACTCGTTATTTTTGTCAAAAAAGGAACGAGAGATTCGAACCAACGATATAGTCGAGGATATAGTTCAGCCCAATAAGTTACTTTGGAGTAAATTGCAGATTCTCAAATTTACGTGAAATAAACTTTATTTTGGGTAGAATATACTTAAGAGTAAGTTTTTTTGATGGTGTTAAATGGAAACAACTAGATGCGATTTACTCAAATTTTGGTTAGTGGGCTGTACCCTAGAATTGAGGGAAAAGTACTAGTGATACTAGTGGTAGTTTTCCATCTTCGTGTGCGTACAGAATGATGCCTCTATTTTGATTTTGACATTTGCTCGTCAGTTATGAAAATGGCGTCCAAGCAAGAGGAGCGATGCCTCAAAATTTTGCACGTGCATCGCAAAAATCCGATCTAAGACTCGCGCGAAACCTACATCAAGGCAGACTTCAAACAGCATCCTGGGCAGGAGTTTCATACGTCAAACATTTTCAAGCAAATGAAACTGTCGAAGTTCGCTAAGAAATATCTGGTTTGGTATGGGTTGATGCATATATTATGTCATGCTCTTAGGGGGGAGAGGGGGTCTAAGATTTTGTGACAAGCAATGCATTAGGTATAGGAAAAACGTCACGATAGGGAGGAGGGGGTAATTTTTTGCTCGATTTAGCGTGACATAATTAATGCATGGGCCCTAAGCAATCTGTACCTGTGGCTTGAAAAGCAACACTTCATTGCAACCGGGACCGTCAACCAGGAAATTTACGTGAACGAGTGTCTGGAAAAGCATCTGCTGTTTTGGCCGGATTTGGCATCCTGCCATCCTGCCATTATGCAAAAAAGGCCGTGGAGTGGTATGCCTAATAAAAAAAATACCATAAATACCAATAACCCAAATGATTTATTCCACAAATGGTTTGAATTATACCCAAAACATGTCGTTAAGCAAAATAACCATAAAAATTTTGTTAGGGAACTCTCCCAGTTTGCAAAAAAAGAGCTCTGCCAGATCGATAAATATTTGGCCATCGTTAAGCGGAACCTGAAGAAGACCCAATAAACTGTTGGAAGCGAGTTTAAGTTTAAGGCAATCTGTAACACCCTTTAGTCAAGTTGTATTTCGGACATGTTACATGACATGACATCAGGAACAATACCAAACGGAAAATCTCAAGTTGCAGAAGGATGCTATTGGCGTTGACGGCGACTCTGTAGCTGGTAAAATCCGCAAGGAAACGTCAGACTGTGCGTGAAACATCGAAGACTTGGTACTACCATAGAGGTAACTCCAAGACCAGAAGGTCACGAAGAAAAATGGTCAACTTTTTGGCTCAGCTCGGGGTACTCTCTTCGGTCCCAAGCTAATCGATGCACCCCTCGAAACATATAAAAATCCACGAACCCCTCATTTTATCTGTCAAACTTCATAGCGAATCCATATGGATATAGGTAAAGAGGCTGAATTTATAAAGAGACGACATGTCAAAATTGGAACAATCGATTGTCTGTCAAAGTCATAGGAAAAGGCATTCCAATCCAGCAGAAGACCTGTCAAATGTATAAGATATCGCCTCTTTATAAATTCAGGCTCTTTAGATATAGGATATGACATATATATGGATTCATATATCCATATCAATCCCTATTCTCAAAACACGGTCAACGAAATGCTTGTTATCCAATCTAACGGAGGTAGTTCACTTCTTTCAGCTATGGATCCACACAACCCATTCAGTTTCCACCTGGGGCCACCGGCCGGCTCAGTTCACACTCATCACCCGGAGCCCACACCAAGTCCTCCCCAGAGCGTTCCCGGTAGACGAACACCGCTGGGAACGGTTGGCCTTGGCGGATTCTACGCTCAACCACATGCCTCAGTATCCGCTTCACTGACTGATGAAAACCGTCCATCGGGTAGCGCCGACAGGTAACTGGCTCTCCGTATGTATTTTTTCCGGAAACCGTAATGTTAATCAAACCAAAGCCATTTCAGTCCACCACCTCATCATCAGCCCGGGCCGCCGGGGGCTGGTGGCAAGCAAAAGAATCGCCAGGGCAAATCGGTCCGGCTGAACATCAATGCCCGCGAGCGACGCCGGATGCACGATTTGAACGACGCTCTCGACGAGCTGCGCAGTGTGATTCCTTATGCGCACTCGCCGTCAGTGCGGAAACTGTCCAAGATAGCAACCCTACTGCTGGCCAAAAATTACATTTTGATGCAGGCCAACGCTCTGGATGAGCTTCGAAGGTAAACTTTTGCTGAAATGAGTTTCAAACCTCTGATTAAAAATTAATCCTTTACAGATTGCTTGCCTACATTCAAAGTGCCGCCGGAGCCGGTGCTCCTACGGTAGATCTGAGAACAATGCCTTCGGCATTGAAGCTTCAACAGTTGCTACAGACGCCACAGCAAGAATTGCAACAACAGGCACAGCAACAACTTCAACAACTGCAGCAGCAGCATCAACAGCAACAGCAACAAGCAGCACAGCAATCGCACGCGCAGCAAGGGGCACAACCGCCAGCCAATCCTAATCCTTGAATTTAAATACGTCCCCTTCTACCTATACCTACGCCAACAGTTAAATTTTTCCAAACATTACAAAACAAAGTTTGCCTACGATTGCAACAGTTTACAATGCTAGTCATACAGCAAGATAGCAACAGTAGAATTATTTAGTGAATAAAAGAAGTAATTTATAGAATTTCACAGTAGCAATAAGTTTCGATACTAGTCGATTCGGGCACCGATGCCAAAGCAGGTCAGCAAAGTGACGGAAATATTTCTAATTTTGAATATTCAATAAAGTGTAGCTGAGATTGAATTGACGGTGATGTTTTTATTACTCAGTAGATATAAGACGTCTAGGGAAGAAACTAAAAAACCTCGATCTGAATTAATCATTTTGTCAAGCTTCTGCATTCATGTTCCATCAGATGTCACAGCTGTTGTTTGCGGTGACATCTATCGGAAACTAGACCTCCTTTTTTACACATTCTGCACACAAAATAGCTCACCCCTCACAGAATTTTCCGCCGAATGTTGTGTATGGGGCGGGGCATAAAGTATCTTTTGCGCAGAATATGTAAAAAAGGAGGGACTTCAAATGTTAAAGCAAATGCATATATAGAGGTACCAGACATGTTTTGTAGTGTCAGGTACTCTATTTTGTAATCTGTGAAAGCGAAATCACAAATCGAGTGTCAACAAAATACATGGCATGTTGAGAGATTGAGCTCGTGAGAGAGAATTTCTCTCTCAAATTTGAATTTTTTTTTTGCTCTCTGGGGACTGGTAGTAAAACAGGTAAAATTGTATGGGGAAAAATTATTTTTATTTAATTGTAGCTTGTTAAACAATAATTTCCGGGAAAAAACTGAACGACAAATTCCCTGACTAGTTTCTTTAGGTTGTCGTTCACTTTTTTTGTTTCTGAATATGCACCGAAAGCGAATTATTCCCACTTCTCTCAATTTCTATATGGTGATTTTTATCACTTACTACCAGCGGAACAGCGCCATCTCTGTGGAAAATGGTCGAACAAAATGATTAATTGGTAGGTGCATCATTTTGAAGTATTTACAATGGATGTGGCCACCAGCGTTGCCAGATATACCGATTTATCGGTATTTATACCGATTTTCAAACTTGATACCTATATACAGATAAGGTTTCTCAGAAAACCGATTTTTGAGTTTTAGTACCGATTTATACCGATTTTTTTATTAATAATCAAAATGATAACTGCCTGCCTGCACTGAATTGTCAGAGGAAACTTTTATGATAGACTTTTATCTTCTTGAAAATTAAAATTTTGGAGCCTGCGCTAAACAAATGTCATCTTCAAAAATGTATTATGCTTGATAATCTTTCGACTAATGCTTCCATTTCCTCGCGTTTTTTGGTAACCAAGGAGCCGAGAAACAGCTGATGGTTCATTCCAATAATTTCTGTAAATCGGGAAATACTGTTATTCAGTGGAAAAATAGGCCCATAAAAACGTTAATTTTTGAACTTCCTGAAATTTCTTTAATCTTCCCTTTGAAGTTTCCTCCAACTTTCCCTAGGAATTTCCGTCCACCTTACCCTGCCATGTATGTTATTGTCGGATTCCTTCCCTTGGAAGCTTCTTCTGGCTTCGCTCGAAAAGTTCTTCCGTTTCCTCCCGTCAGTTTTTTCAACTACCCCGGAACTTCAGAAATGCTTCCAGAGTATTATTGCGGTTCCATTAGTTTCAGGAAAACTTTAGGAACTTTTCAGAAGTTCTAAAACTTTAGAATAGTTCGGACAATTTCGTTAACTTCTGTTTAAATTCGAGAACTTGGGAATCTCAGGAAAGCCCAGAGAACTTCAATGAACTTAAGGAAACTGAAATAAAGAAATTTAATGGTTTTCAGGATAGTTCCATTTGTTTCAGGAGAATGGAGATAACTTTAGGGAAGCTCTGAGAACATATAAATTCAAGGAGATTTCTGAACCTTTAAATGAGTTCCGAGAAACTCAGGGAATTTCCGAAAACTTCAGTTAAGTTCCAAGAGGTTCGTGAAAATGTTAGACACGTACGGGAAGTTATATGAACATTAGAAAATTGTGAGAACATTTTAAGGGAAGCTCAGTGTTTTTATCGGCAGTTTCGAGAACTTTAAAAAAATTAAGAAATCGGAAAGATCAGAGAACTTTAATGCTGATATTCATTAATTTAAAAAAAAAATGATTGAAAGCACTAAAGAAGATCCACGGACTTTTAAAGAAGATAAGTGATTTTCCGGTAGTTTCATAATAATCAAGGAAGTTCCGAGTACTTCGAAGATGATCAGAGAACTTCAAAACAGCCCCATTAACTTTAGGAAAATTTCAAGAACTTTCAAGGAGTTCCGGGGAATTATGGGATCTTCCGAAGTGCAATTCAGGAATGTTTAGAAAACCTCAGGAACATTGTGGGATTTTTAGGGCTGTTTTATCAATCTCAGGAAAATTGCTGGAACGTGCTAACATCCCCCAGAAATCTATTTCTTCCAGATATTTTCCCATCTTCTCCTTGAAGTATCTTTCAACTGTACCGTACGCCCTCTGGCGTCCGACTTTTTCCAAAAGTTTCTTCCAATCTACCTTAGGAAGTTTCTTCCAGTGTCTCCTGGAAGTTTCTTCCGTCTTCTCCAGGAAGTTCAATTAAAGTTCTACCGGATGTATCTATCGAGTTCTCCCAGAAGTTTCTTTCGTATTCCTCTGGAAGTTTCTCCATAAGTCACTCTCCGTCGAGGGGGGCGACACATCTAAATCTCAAATTTAGATGCTCAATAAATCTCACTCTAGCGAATAAATCTTCGAAAAATCTTCTTTCATTTCTCGCATCTACTTGCATCGCGCATCATCTTTTTGCAGGAAATCTTCAAAATCGTGATAAATCTTCTTTCTGTCTACTCAGCGTACGCGCAGCTAGCCACAGCAAAACACAATATTTCCTGCATCGTAGATAGAGTCGTCCCCCTCGCTCTCCGTAGTATTTTTTTCCGACTTATTGGAATGTTTTTCCGAGCTTCTCCTGACTTCCCTTGGAAATGGCACCTCCGGGATTGGATTGCGATTTCCAAACTTGGTTGGCTTCTGGATTTTTTACGAAAGTTACTAAAATATATTTGCCAGAAGGTTCTCAATATTTGTCTTAGAAGATCCCCATCGGATGTTTTTTTCGAAATCTTTTAGAAATATTTCCCAGAAATTTCTTCCAGCTAACATGGAAAGTACATCTTTCAAGTTTAGTCTAAAAGTTTGAAAAAAAAATAAAATTAATTAAAATAGTGAATACCGATAAATACCGATTTTTAAATCATTTGATACCAAGGGAATCTGGCAACGCTGGTGGCCACCCTTCAGAACATTTTGAGATACTTGGTTTTTGACATCGTTTGTTTATCTTTCCCAGAAATAAATTATGTTTCTCTACAACTTTGCCTCAGACGTCATTACGATCATGAATACCGTTTCCGTGCTACCTTTTTCGACAAATTTCAAAGACGTCATTGCGAAAACTTTACAAGATCCAAAATGGACGAGTATGAGTTTTTACGCAAACTTTCATACAAATCGGAGAAGTTTGATACAACAATTCATTTTTTCACCTGGAACTGCTCAAAATTCTTTAAATTCTTTGGAATTTACCATAATTCCTTGAAACTTGTTGATATTTTTGCAATTTCCTGAAATTAATGGAAGCACTCTGAAGTTCTTCGATCTTGCTCGAAGTACTCAGACCTATATTAAAGAAAACGAAACTGTCTAAAAATCTCTTAACATCTCTGAAGCAGGCTTGCTTCCACTCACTTGCAATAAAAAATGATTTTCGGAATTTTGAAATCATTAGATATTATAATGATATTTTGTACACGTTAGTTGCAAGAAGAGGTTGAACTGCAAGTGTTTGCCACATATTACGGGTCAAATTTGCTTGCTGATAGTCACAATCAGCAATTTTACGACTCGTGAGCGCTCACTCTGAATAATAAACGAAGAAAAAAAAACCTGAATGAACGCTCACGAATCATAAAATAGCTGATTGTGACACTCTGAATGCGAAATTAACAGGTTTTATGCGGCAAACATTTGCCTTTCAAATTCTTCCTGTATTTAACAATTACAAATTTTCATTATAACATCTAATGATTTCAAAATTCCGAAAATCCTTTTTTATAGCAAGTGAATGGAAGCAACCCTGCTCTGAAGTTCTTTTGACTTCTCTTAATATATAGGATCTTCTCAAAGCTTTTTCTCGATATTTCTATCTGAAATTAATGTGACTACCTTAAAGTTCTCTGATCTTTGCTGAAGTTCCCGAAATTTTCTGAAGTTATCGAAACTGCCACGAAGTAAATAATTGGACTTCATGGACCCTACCACAATTTTCCTAAATCTAGGAACCTTGCTAAAGTTTTTGAAAAAAATCCTGGTAGCTCAACACTTATTTGAAAGTTCCGTAATTTCATTGATGTTAATTGAACTGCCCTGAGGTTCTCTGATCTTCCCTGATGATCTCGGAGCAAATTTTCTGAAGTGGTTCTCTGTAGCTCTGAAATTAATGGAAATGATCGGAAAATCTTAAAACTCAAGCTCCCTCAAGTTCCCGGAACATCTTAAAAGTCATTGATATTTCAATAATTTTATCACCAATCGATCAGAAATATTTCTACGCATTGGTAGCAATTGTTCCGATTGTTGATTTTAAACAAGAAAAACTATTGAAAAGTGGTAAATGACAAGCATTGTCCAAAAGCATCAAAATAACTAACAAATCCACCAATTACGTACATGCATATGCTGCTTCCCCAACACAGTCATCAGAGAGTCTTTAGTTGACGAAAAAATCGAACTGGAAGCAGGGTTGCTTCCACTCACTTGCTATAAAAAAATGATTTTCTGAATTTTGTAGTCATTACATGTTATAATTTATTATATTTTGTCCTTGTTAGATACAGGAAGAGGTTGAAAGGCAAGTGTTTGACACATACTACCTGTCAATTTCGATTCCAGAGTGTTACAATCGGCGATTTTATGATTCGTGAGCGTTCACTCAGAGTGAGCGCTCGCGAGTCGTAAAATCGCTGATTGTGACTATCTGAAAGCAAATTTGACAGGTTTTATGTGTCAAATACTTGCCTTTCAGCCTCTTCTTGTATCTGACAATGTCAAATTATCATTATAATACCTAATGATTTCAAAATTCAGGAAATATTTTTTTATAGCAAGTGAGTGGAAGCAAGCCT